AACAGGGAAGGAATAGAGGGACAAAATAAACATGGTGTAGCACTGAGGACAAGAGAGCAGTGTGACTACAGCCATGTTGGGGATGGTAGGAAATGCTGCTTGTCCAACAAAGGGGATGCTAGATAAGTGGGGTGTGGAGAGGGGAGCTTAAGAAGCGGACAATAAATCATTGAACGTCCTGAACAGAACAAGGTGATAAAAGAAGTGTTTAAAAAAATCAAATCTGGGAGAACACTGCAGGATGGACATGAAGGGAGAGCCCAAAGTGAAGGGTGGCCACTGGGAAGATGGTCATAACCTGGTGAGCTGAAGGGGCTAAGAGTCTGTCCTGGGGATAGGGGAAGAGTTACTGGGAAAGAAAGAGAGGAACAGCCCAAAGAAGGAGTTAGAAGGATCTGCTGACTGGGTGTAGAAGATAAAACAAAAGGATGTGTCCAAAATGATGGAAAGGATGGTGGTGCCAAGAACAGAGTCAATGAAATGAGGAAGAGAAGCTGGGTTGGAGGGCAAGGAGGCTTTTGGACTTGTTGAATATGAAGTAAGAACAAGACTTTCAAGCGTGAAATATGCAAGAGCAGATAAGCTATAGGACAGGAGTCCAGAGAAAGTGAAGGAATCAAACTAGAGATTTGAGAGCTCTCTGTAGATGAGGAAAAGTTGACATCTTGGAAGAAGAGAGGGAGAGAGTGCATATGAGCCCCAAAGTGATGAAGAGCTGAACCTCGAGGCCTTTTCAAAACTAGAAGAATGGGCACAAGAATATGGGCACAATGACAGGAACAGAAAAAGGAGCAATTGGTGTGGGATAAAAATTCAGGATCCAATAGGGTCGCAGGAAGCATGAAAGAAGTTTCAAAAAGGACTTGATGACAGATGATGGATGATGGATAAGAGCCAGAGCATGTTGAAGATACCACTGTACTACTTACAAATGAGTAGGGCTTTTTCCTTTCTCAACTACCGAGTGTCTAAGATTATTTAATTGGTGAGTGGGCAGAAAAAGGGATTTTGTGGCTGAAATACATGCTCTGTTTTATGATTTTTAATTAAGATGTTGCTATTCTTTGTGCAGACAGAGATAGTTATAAAAAGTTAATTTGGATTGCTTTTGAGGAACATTTAGTCAGAATTTGTAGTCTTCTGGGAGCTATTTTGTTATACAATAGGAATAATCCTGCATATACTAAGTATTGGCCATATATTTTAAGTATGTGGGTATCATATTAAAATGTGCAAGTCCTGACAAAAGTTATAAGAAATATCCAGAAGCGTTTAAAACTGATATGGGGCTATTAAGTAACTCATGGGATACTGCTAAGCACACACAAAGATGATGTGTTTCTAAGTTCTCAAGAACCCTTAGGAAGTAATACCTCTCACCTGCTCATGAAACGCCAGTCTGTGTGCTGGGTTTATCCTGAGCCAGACTTGCATCTACTTTTATTTTAGTTGTGAACCATCTGGCAAGACATCACAGCCAGAAAGCAAGGTTTCTGGTCAGTTTTGGTGTTCAGATCAAATCTGACTGATAAGAAATGATATTAAAGGAAGCCCAGTGTCTTCCACTGTCACTGATGAAATGGAAGCTGGGTTCTGGAATAGAAGTGTGAACTACCGTGCAAGAAATGCCCTCTTCTTCCCCCAAATGGAAATGAACAAATTAGTCATTGGTAGTGACCATAGAAAGATTCAGGTTGAGGAGCCTGAAGCTTATATAATTGGGGTGCCCTCTCTAGGAAAAAAAAGAAGGCAAAATTACAAAGACAAGATTCAGTATGAAACTGGTTATTTAGAATGAGAACCCAGAAAGACCTGCAGTTGTAAGGTCATAAAGCATAAGGATCATCAGCTACACTGTAAATCCAGCTCTGCTCACGACCAACTACTTGGAGTAAAGTGTAGAAAAGGAGAAAAAGAGCCAATAATCAGGCAGAGGGAAAAATGAAAGACAAAATGCCCCTTAAGGAATACTGGAGCACAGAACAAAAAAAGACAAGAATAAAAATCCCAGAAAGAACCCTGAATTGTGAAATATGGCTGGTATGGAGGTGGGAATGGAGACAGAACTCCCAATCAATTTACACATCATCACCATATTTATTTTCCCATGATCAATAATCATGTTGCTTCTAGGAGGCTTAAACAGGTTTTTAGAAACACCAGTCCACTTTATTGCAAGCACTTAACAAGTGTTTGTTGACTGAATGAATCAAAGTTAACGAATGAATGAAGAGGAAACAAGGGAGACACTTCTTTTTTCGTACTCTCCACCAGGATCTGTTTTCCTGATGCTCCAAAATACATGCATGTTTTTGCTGGCACTGGCTGGAGTTGTCAAAGCAACAGCTCATGCCAATCTCTTCTCTGGTGACTAAGACTGTTATCCTAAACAGGCCAAGTCAAAAGCTATCTCCACTCAAAATTAATTTGTAAGCAGTTTCTCAAAAGGATTGTACATAAAAATGGCTACTTTGGGACACCCTATTTACTCCCTCCCACCTTATTTCTCCCTCTTACTAAATCAGATCCTTCAGGTTTATTTCAGAAATTAACCTCCTCCCATGTCTTGGACAGATTAGTGTGGGACTCTAGCTAGAGCTGAAACACAATCCCTAAATTTCAAACATTTTACCAATGATGACAACATAAGTAACAATTTAATATATCAGTCAGGATGAGATTTCCAGGAAGATTCAGAAAAATCTCATGCACCACTCAGTTGGTCAGCTACAAACTCAAACCAGGACCAGGGGAACCCAGGATTGCCAGCTGCTCATCACAGGACAAGATTCAGGCCCTTGGGGAAGGACACAAACATACCATTCCTCTGCCCCTGCTTCTCACAGAGGGATTCCATTTGAGCAATAAATGCCCTGCACTTTCCTGCAAGTTCTTAAAAAAGAAAAAAAAAACGGCTAGAGTAGGTTAAAACTAAGAGCTCTCTCCTCCCCGCCTATTTTAAAAACCTTTTCCTAAATGATTCTTCCTCCTTCCTGTTCAGTTACTAAATTTTCTAAGGAAAAGCGCTTTAAGAAGAGCAGGACCTGAAAAACACGATTACTACCTCAATATTACAAAAATCCATATACTGTTGTTCTGTTTAGGGCAAAGGATGTGAAACCAGTGAGGCAAACCAGCCACCTTGGGAATTAGGAGTGAGGGTCTTAAATGGGAGAAAATCACTGTCACTTCCCGGCCAGGCGGTCTGACCTCTGGATTGTTACCTCAGTTTCTTGGTTTTGTAAAACAGTGACAAATATACTGCCCGCCTCACGGGACCGCTGAGGACTGAGAAAATCCACGTAAAGTGCTAAATATAACCGTACGGCAAGAGCTCCTTAAATGTTAGTATTTAATAGTAGGAGTAAAATGATTGTTCCTGCCTCCTGCAGTTCACACCACCAGCAAAACCCGCTCAACCCCACTCTCTCCTCGCGGGATCAGGGGCCCGACCGCTGTTGCGCTCTGTCATGCACAAGGGAGACCCCCCCCCCGAAACGCCACCTAGCTAGTGCAAGTCCCTCCCCCCGCCCCCCGGGCCGGCCAGGGTCCCTCAGGCTACCGCTACCGTCCACACTGACCTGAGATGCCGCCTCCTATCACGACTACGTCGAACACTTGGCCCGCGTTGTCAGCCTTGTCCTGATTCTCCATGCTCTGGTTGAGACTCTCCCGGGGCGTGGGTACAGGAGTGGGGCTGGCCAAGGGCGGAGCGGACTTTTCTACCGACTCTCGGGGGGAGTCCGAGGGCGGAGCCGATTCTTCCACCGATACCCGGGCGGAGCCGGGCGCTGAGGGCGGAGCGGACCCTTGGACTGGTACTCTGGGGGAACCCGGGGGTGGAGCCGATCCTTCTACCGATGTTCGGGGACTACCTAACTCAGAGAGTTCGGTGGACAGTTGAGTCGACACTGGGGAGTTCATGGGCGTACGAGGTCCCTGTATCAAACTCCAGGGGCTCCTGAGCACTCGGGGCGGGGGAGGGCCTTGTATCGACGCTTGGGAGGAGTCCGACAGCACGACAGATTCTTGTCCTGAACTCCCAGGGAGGCTGAGGTCTGAGGGCGGGTAGGACCCTTGTATCGACTCTAGGGAGGAGTCCAAGAGCCGGGGGAAGTCGGGTATTGAGAACTGGCTGGACTCTTGTACTGGCAGTCGCGGGGGGTTGTTGAGGGTAGGAGGTACTTCTACCGAACTCTGGGAGGAGATGGATAGTGAGGACGGGACGAGCCCAAGTAGTGACATTTGCGGAATATTACGGGATAGAGGAGGTGACATTATTCTGATGGAGTCAGGCATCGAGGGCGAGATGGATTCTTGTACCGCCGCTCTGAGGAACTTTCTGGGTATAGGAGTCCCTGCTACCCGGGGGAACCCAGGTACTGAGGATGGGCCGGACTCATGGAGGGGCAACCTGGAGGAGCCTGAGGGCGAGACAGATCCCTGTTCGGATACCCGGGGGATGCTGGTGTCCGGGTTAGAGGCTGGGACGGCCCCCTCAGAGTTGGGAGAACGGGTGACAGACATGGGGATCTGGTCGCTAAGGCGGAGGGCGCCAAAGTCCCAGAGGCCAACCTTGGTGTTCGGGTCAGTTGTCAGGTCAAAATCCGTGCTTATTTGGGCGGACGCGCTGGCGCTTTGGGAGTATGTCACGTCTGGTGTGGACTCGTTCGACAGGGAGCTGGAAAACAGTCCGGAGACGGTCCGCCACTCAGATTGCATGCTCCACTCGGGAGTGGAGGGCAAGGCCGTGCCCAAGGTGGAGGCCGGGTCCGGGATCTGGGCAGTGGTGTCCCCGGCTCTGGGTGGACGCTCGGCCTCGTGCCGTCTCTCGCCGCTGTTGTTGCTGGGGGAGGCCTCTGAGTTGTGGGCGCTCATTGTTCCGGAGTGCGCGCGGGCGGCGGTGCTGGGGGCAACTTTCAGCTCTCCTCAGGCCCTCCCTCTCACAGGCGCTCGCCTCTCCCGCCCAAGCTGTTCCCGATCCGCCCTCTCGGAGACCTGCCTCGGGAGCCCCGCCCACTTTGAGGGGGCGACGCGGCGCTGAAGCGGCCTGGCCCCGCCCTTCCCGCCTGTACGCGGCGCGCGCGCGCGTTGGGGGCGCACTCCCGCCCGGTAAGGCCGGACGACGCCACCGAAGTGGGGGTGTGGCTGGATGAAGGTGTGGGCGGGGACACGTGGGGGTTTCAACCTGGTGCTTTTATTCTTACACTTTAACTAAAATAGGACTGGGCGGAGGGCGTCGGGGGTGGGTTTAGGGAAGCCGGTACTGAAGAAAGCGGACCCGGACCGCGAACTCGCAAGGCGCCCCCCCTCACACACCTGGTCTGGCCCCTTTGTGACGTCACAAGGGGCCGGTGAGGTCTGCGCAGTCGCGCGCCCTCCTTGTGGGGGGAGGGGTGAAGTGAGAAATGTCCCTAGGGGGAGGCTTGGCAGTTATTGGTTTTCTATACGGTTTTTCAAGCTGAAGTTCTTAAAATTGAAGCAAGTAGGCGAGAAAATTAAGAACTCAGCTATCACAAATTAAGTGGGACCTGCAATTTAAAAGCGAAGGTCAAAGGATGGCTAAGTTGCAGAACCAAATTAAAAAAGATGTGTTTCCCCATCCTACTGAAAAGAGGAATATTTACTATGTATATTTTATTGTGCATCAGCCCTTGTCTTGCTAGTTTTATCCCTTCCTTAAATTTACATCTTATCCTCCTAGAGCTGAATACGTCATCACTAGAACCCTCAAAAAGATGTAATTTTGACATGCATTCAGAGTAAATGATGAGAACTCAAGGAAGTTAACTGGTATCTGTACCCAAGTGTAAACATTTCTCCTGCCCGCCTCCTCCCAACTCCCATCTGTATCAAATAATATCTTGAAGAAACTGTAAAGAAATACAGATTTAGTTTTTTCTTTATCCAGTTTTAAGAGCTTTTACTGTCTAGCAAAGGAGTTGAGACATGACTAAATTGGTATCATTTTTATCTTAGACTTTGAAGCAAATAAAGAGAAAGTAACGGATATAAAAAATTAAGCTCTTTCTAATGTGATTCTCCAACTTTCCCCTTAGTCTCATCGCTTTCATTTTTTTAATTGAAGTATAGTTGGTTTACAATGTTGTATTAGTTTCTGGTCATTCAAATATTTGATTTCATATTATGTACTAGGTACAGGGCAAGGTACTTGGGATACACAAGGGACATGAGACAGTTGGAGACTTTCCTTGAACATACAGTCTACTAGAGGAGCTATGGAAAGAATAAACCACATGCTTGGTGTGTCAATTCAAATTCTGATAAATATTATTTTAGAAAGGCCCATAGTGACAAGGTGTTAGGGTGTCCTGACCATTCTGGGGGTTAACTTTGGGAGGGAGTATGTAAAAATGTCCTAGAAAGAGAGAACAATGTAGATAAAGGTCCTGTGATAGAAAGAAGCATGGGTCTTTGGAATAGCTGAAAGCCAGGGGGTGGAGCTTTGGCAAGAGGAGGAGCAGTGCAGGAGACAAAGCTGCAGAGGTCAACTGGGCCAAAGTAAGATCCTTGGTCTGTATTCTAAACCAGTAGAAGCCACTGCAAGACTTTAAGAAAGGGGCAATATGACTAGATTGAACTTTGAAAAGATCTATCTGCCATGTGAATGATGGGCTGGAGGGGACAAGAGTAGATAGATACAGGGAGACAAAAGTTTGGAATTCTTCAAAGAAAGAGGTGATGATGGCTTGGGCTAAGGTCGGTGGTGGCAGTGGAGCTGGAGTGATGTGGATGTATTAGAGACATTTACAGGTAAAATTAACCAGGACATTACAGGACTTGGTTGTGGCTAGGATTTGGAAGATCATGAGCATGTTTTTGGATATGTTGAGTTTCAAGTGCCTTTGAGACATCCAGATGAAGGTCATAGAGTAGGCAATTGAGCATAAAGCCTGAGACTCAAAGCAGAAGTTTGGCTGCAGGTAAAAATGTGGGAGTCATATTAAATAAATAATGGGTGGAATAGATGAGCAGAAATATGAGTATTTTCTCTCTTCATTTTACTTGTTCGTATTGTATATTTTGTTAATCTTTTGTAATAAAAACAATAAAATTACTTTTAAGATAAATGATTGCGATCTACCCTACAAGTATTATTTCCTCCCTTTCTGACTGCAATCAAATTACTTCTCTGTGCCTGTCTCCTCAACCTTAAAATCTCTTAAGTTGTTGTATTTGTCAAGGTTTGAGAAGAAAACAGCAAACTTCGATTAGATGGTTTAAAGAGAGTATGTATCATAAAGGAAGTATTTTAAAAGATGTAGGAAGATGGTTGAGAAATCCCAAGGAATAATGCATGCCCCCAGGCTGGTGATAACAGGAAGGGATCACTATAGAGGGGTGAGGAGCAGAACAGTAATCAGACCTGATGACAGATGTGTTTGGAAAGGGCTACCCGACACAAGCTGTGGTTTTTAGTTCAGGGAGGCAGTCAGCCCACAGAAAACCTACAGGGGGAGCCAGAACATATAAATACCCAACCTCCCTCTCCTCCCTCCCTTCAATCTCCTGCTGGTCCTCTCCATAACCCAGCCAGAAGCTAGGAGGTAGGAGAACCTGGTGATGCTGTCCATACAGATCAGGGGACATAATAAGCTAGAGAAAAGTGGTAAATACACCTGAAAGAGCCAAGAGAAGATATCCAGTACTGTTGTAGTGAGGGTTCAATGTGCAAATGAATATAAAATACTTAGATAACTACTCAATACCTGCCCACATTTTAATTTCTAAAAACTCCATTATATTCATGTCATGGACTGTAATTTACTTAACCTTTATCCTCTAACATCAAGCATTTAGTACTTTCCATTTGTTTATATATATAAAACATAGGGGCTGAACATTTTTGTACATAATATATTGAATATATTGTACATTGTAAATTCTTAGAATATCCTTCGGCTAGAACCCTAAAAGTAAAATTCCGGGATAAGAGAGTAGTGCCATTTTTAAAGCTCTTTGATTGAAATTACCAAATTTCTTGCTAAAGAGATTGTCCAGATTTATACCTCATCAGCAACGTCTAAGAAGGGCTGTCTTCTTGCTGCCCCAACGCAACATTAAGCAAGTTAAATTTTTAACCTTTAACTTGAAAAGTCAGCATGGCATTGCTATTCTAATCAGCATTTCTTTGACTATTAATGAAGCACTTTTTTCATATATTTAATAGCCATTTCAATTTCTCCTGTTGTGAATGATCACCGCCTGCCTTCCTGGAGTTGATTTCTGTAAGTACTTTATATAACAAGATATTAACAATTTGTTTGGTATTTTCACTGCAGATAGTTTTTACAACTTATATTTTTGTATTGGTTATGGCATTTTATTTATGCAGAAATTTTAATTGCATGTGATTGTATCTATTCTTCAGTGACTTCTTCCACTGCTTTTAAACTTAGAGACCAGAAGGATAAAAATCTATGTTCTCTTTTGTTATTTGATGGTTTGATATTTTAAAACTGGTTTATTTAATCCTAATCTACTGATATGTATTTTGTTATGTGCTGTGGAACTAAATAGACAATCCACACCCACCTCCAACACGCACACAAATAGTTAAACAATCAAAACAAAACTATCTGTTGAAAAATCCTTCCATTCTCCACTGATTTGTTTCACCTCATATAACATAAATACTGAGATCTGGTTTTGAACTCTTTCTTCTGCCATGTTGAATTGCTTATTTTTGCCACGTTGCCATCAATGCCACATTGATTTTCTTACTGTTGCTTTATAGTAGGTTTTACCAGAAAGAAGGATTAATGCCTCCCCAATACTCTTCTTTACAAGTTATTTATTATATTCTTGCATATTATTTCCATTAATATGTTCTTATATATTTAAATACATTTTAGTATCATTCCATCCATTAAAAACTCTTTTTGGTTAATTGAATCAAGATGATGGTTATTCCTAAACACGAATCTAGGACATTTACATGTGGCAGTCTCAGGGGGAAGGGCATAGCTCAAGCGGTAGAGCACATGCTTAGCATGCATGAGGTCCTGGGTTCAATCCCCTGTACCTCCTCTAAAAATAAATAAACCTAATAACCCCCCCAAGTAAAATAAATAAATAATACAATATATGTGGCAGTCTCATTTAACATCTTTTTTTTAAGATGTCTTAATTTTCAAGTTACTTACAGGAAACTGTTTTATTTATCTCCAAAATAAAATAATTTTGTGAGGATGAGTGTTGAGTGTGTGTTTGTGTGTGGTTTCAATCTGTGGATTTTTTCATTTTGGGTTTTTTTTAATCCCCATGCTAGGACAGTTTTTCTTCTACTCTTACTTGGACTACTGCATCTGTTTTATGTGTTTTTTTTCCTGAGAAACACCTATAGTTATGTTATTAGGGCATCTTTCTATGTCTTTATCATTATTGTCATCTCTTCATCCTTTTTCTCTGAATTCTGAGAGAGCCAGTCACCTGTACCCTTTATATTACTCATTTAATTTTCTGCAGTTAACTAATTCTGTTCTTTACTGCTTGTACTGTAGGTTTTGACTATGCCATTTCAGTTAGATTTTTTAAAAACTTTAAATTCTTATTTCATCCAACTCATTTTTTATTTATGCCATGTATCTCTCAGTATATTTTTTTCCTTTTGACTTGCTGATTTTCTTTCTCAGGGACCTAGTTTTATGCATTTTCTGGGGACAGCATCCGCTGTTTTTGAGAATGCTCTTCTCTGTCTGCAGGTATGTATTGCACTCCCGTACATTGCTAGTTCAAGTGCAGGATGGTACCACTCCTGTGGAGAGGAATTCAGTAATATCTAACAAAATCATGTATGCCCATATGTATGAAACTGGTTGCATACATTGATAAGCCTACATGATGAAACACTATGCAGCCATTAAAGAAAAGAAGGAAGATGGTTTCTAGGAACTGATATGACTGATTTTAAGAATATACGATAAAATCAAGGTATGAAAAAAGTACATAATATATCTTTATGTGTGTTTTTGTACCTTTGTGTAAAAAATGTATTTGCAAAAAGAAACATAGGAAGGATAAATCATAAATGGAGAAATGTATCAGAATGCAATGGAGGGGCACGGATGGGAGTAAGATTTCTCTGAGTATTCTTTTTTAAATAGTGCCATTTCCATTAGGGGTCTTCATGAGTTCAACTAAACCTCCAGACTCACAAAACTACCATGGGCTACATTTGGCATCTCACGCTTAACTTTTGGGAGAGTGGATTGGTACTCAGAACAACTAAACATGCAACAATAAAGAATTGCTTAGTAATAGGTCACAAAAATGCCACTGGAGATCATGTAGTCCTCAAAACTTATGTTTACACAGAATTTCTTCATGGCATGAGAAAACTATTATAAGATTGAGCAACAAAAAGCATGATAAAAATGTAAATGGCAGGTGGTCTCAATTGTATAAACTAAAATGTGTAGGATGGAGAATCACTGAAACATTAAGCTAAAAATTTTAGTTTGATTTTGAAATAATTATAGACTCACAGCAAGTTGCAAAAAATAGTAGAGAGAGATCCAGTGTACCCTTTACTCAGCTTCCCCCAACGGTAACATCTTATGTAATCACAGTACTTTATCAAAACCAGGAAATGTACTTACATAGGTTGGTACAGGTTCAGTGTACCATTTACTCAGGTTCCTCCAACGATAACATCTTATGTAACCATAGTTCTTTATCAAAACCAGGAAATGTATTTACATAGGTCGGTACATGCTCAACCAGGAACACTGTAGTTATTTCTGAATGAAAGTCCGTATTAAGTCCTTAGCAGTCATCCTTGACTTACATACATATCACTATTGAAATGTTAACACTTTAGTTTTTTTAAATATTGTTATTTGGTAAAATCTGAGTAAGGGCGGTAGCCGAGTTAGTTGTATTGTCAATATCAATTTCCCGGTTTGGCCCTCCACTCTCCTCTCCTCTTTGTCTCCCCCCCCCACCACTCCCAATACACACATTCTGTGAACCACCAGCAAGAGTACAATGTTTCATTATGTAATTTTTTTTTTTTTACTGTGCTGCTTCTTGGGCTTCATTCTCCCTCTATGTGAATTTTTGCCTGGATATTCTCTATTCGTTCTTCTAGACCAAATCTCCAAATGAGGCTGCTGCAGATCGGGTTCTCTGGGAAGCAGATACTGAGTTGGAACTAACGATGCAAAGGGTTTGTTAGGAGTAACATCTGTGAAAGGAAATGGGCACTAGCAGGATTGGCCAGGAGCTGGCAGATAGCTATGTAGATCTAACAGCCTCTGTCGGCTCAGCGAGAGCTCCAAGCAAAGGATGCCCTTTAGAGGAGCCCTGCATTGGGTGGGAATGGCCAGTCCAGAGTACAAACGCCTGGCTGTCATTCACTGCGAGTTGCCCTAAGACTGCTTTTGCTTAATCACTGACTTGCACTTCCTTCTCCAAGAATATTGTGAAGTAGGCTCCAAAGCTGAGGCAGATCCTGAAGAAAATCACACCTAGAAACTAGCAGTTAACCACATGCCTCACTTCTGAGAAGAATCCTTTCTTGAAGGGGAAAATGATTGGCACATGCCTGTCACAGCACCTGGCCGCTTCCTGGGCATGTGACCCGTGCAGTCTCCCAGGGTCCCACATTCAGAAAGGCCCTGCCATTGTTTTTGTTTGTTTGTTTTGTATTGAAGTATAATCAGTTTACAATGTTGTATCAATTTCTGGTGTACAGCATAATTCTTCAGTCATACATATATATACATATATTCCTTTTCATATTCTTTTTTCATTATAGGTTACTACAAGATATTGAATCTAGTTCCTTGTGCTGTACAGAAGAAAGCTGATGTTCATCTATTTTCCTGCCATTGTTTTAATGCCCTGCCATCACTGTCTTGAAACTCTTAATCATTTTGTCTTTGAACTTGTGTTTTGTGAGCGAAGCCCAATGAGACAATGGCACATACTCGTGAACTGAGGAGATAAGCACAAAATTCATGTACTCTATTCTTTATCACCTCATTTGCATGTAACATTAGTGATGCCTTTTTTGAACAAGGGGTTTTGCATTCTCATTTTGCACTGGGCCATGCAAATTATGAATCTAGCCCTGACAATAGCCCTCCTTCACCAGGCTCCAATCCTGAATAAATGTCTATCCTCTGATCCTACCCTACTGTGAATATTACATCTTCTACTGCACATAGTATAAATATATTAAAATTGCCTGTTCATGTATCTGTTGCTACATTATGGAGTACTAATTTTTTTTAGTATTCTCTACTCTTAAAAAGCATAAATTCCAAGAATTTATACATTGTTTCTGTTCTTTTATCTGACTTTCTCCCTCTTAACTTTCTACCCATCTCATACTCCATTGTAAATTGTTAAAAAAGAAAATTCAGTAAATAGTTAAGATCTTATTGGCTTTATTCAATGATTCATGAATCAGGAAGCATCCAATCTGGCAAGGAGCACCAAGGCTCTGTACAAAATAAATGACTTTTATAGGCAGAAGGGAGCAGGAAAAAGAAAATTATATAGGCAAAAAAAGCATAATGGTGATTGCAAGGTTACTTTCCCTCAGGGGATAACAGGGGTCTAGCTAAGTAACCCAACTAGTGCTTATCAGGCAATTCCTAATTGACTAGTTTAAGATTCCATTTCTAGGAGAGCTGAAATTGTGATTAAGTCTAATATGATGACGTGGGGCTTAGCATAGGTGATCCCATTTTGGGCCTGTTGTTTTTAACAAAATGAAAAGATTACTGTGATTATCTTTGTGGAAGAGACAGTTATCCCCCAATATTGTTTTCCTTTCTTGCTTAGAAATAGAACCCACAGTTTTTGCTGCTCAGAATAAAGGCTGTCATTTCCCAGCCTCCCTTGTAGCCGAGTGTGACTAAGTTGTGGCAAATAGATGTAATGGGAAATATCATGTGAAACTCCCAGGAAGTTTTCTTAAAGGAAGTGATTGTCCCCTTATCTTTCCTTCCTATTACCTGGAATATAGATGTGAAGGCTGGAATTCATGTTGCTGTCTGGAAGCATGAGGTAAAAGGAGGCTGGCAGAGTAATAAGTTGGAAGGAATCTGTGCATTTCTAGACTTCTTTTACATGAGAGATACACTTCTTTTTGTTTAAGCCATTGTTATTTGGGGTTTTCAGTCACAAGCAGTTGAACTTAATCCTTCTGATCTAGTTCTTTAAATGAAAGTGGAACAGTCAAGACATATCTACTGTTGCCCTGCTCAAGAAGGATACTCCCAACTGTTCCTGTTCAGTTCCACCTTACCAGGGGCTAAGATTCTCCTTTCTTGCCTCCTATCCCCAACTTCTGATCAAGAGTGGGGTGGGGAAGGAGACTTACAAGGTTATCCTGAGGTTGTCAGTAGGCAAGGGAAGGGGGAGGATGGAATTCCTTTTACTCAGCAGTCTGGTTATTGTGACAGAAAATTCATTCCTCCCATTATTCACCCCTTGTTCTTCCATTTGAGTCTCTACTTTGCCATCTCTTCACTTTGCCTAAACTCTGTCTCATTAACTCTCTGGGAGAGGGAAAACTGGCACACACATTTCTGAGACTCTTCATTTGACACAAAAGTTAGAAGTTTCTTTGAATTTTTTTTATGTATCTTTATTTCATCTTCAATGTGGACAGGAGGAGTGAAATTGGCCCTCAGCGTATCAGTGAGAGCAGAGAGGGCAGGGGAAATCATAGAACACAACCAGAATAATACTTTGAGATGCAGACCTATTGTGGGAAGGAACCACACTGAGTATCCTGGTGATAACCAGTGATGGTATCATTGAGATATGACATATGTGGACCGAATTAAATTCTCAGAAGACTGTCTCACATACAAGAAGAAATAGAAATGTTGGTGGTTGAATTCCTTAATAAACAACAGGTGACAAGTTCAGCGTGAGGCACTGAATGTAGATCAATGAAGTAGGAACTACATAATCTCAACTGGTCAATGACTGAAGTTAAGTTTCTATACTCAGACCAAAAGAGCTGCTGGCCCCTTTAGAGAGGTTCTTCTGTGCAGTGACAGGATCAGAGAAAGGTAAGGCTTTCCAAGCACATCAACATCAGTTCTTTCCCAGACTTCTGGTCAGCAATGATATTGAATCAAGCTCTTTGGATAATTTTTTTAATGTGGTCTCTGGCTGTCTGCATCAATAGCCCCTGGAGGGTGTCTGACATTTATAAACGTGTTTACTCTTCCCTTCACCTAAATAGACAAGAGTCGGAGAACTCTCTGAGTCATGTAGCTCTAGGCAATTTGAAGTTCAGGCTCTTTAAATCATCCCTTTAACTTTCAATATTTCAGGACAGAATTTGAACAAGAAGAAAGATTAAAAAAAAAAAAAAGACAGGCAGTGCTCTCCTTTGAGGGGATAAACAATTAAGCTCAAATCAGCTTCACTTAAGAGATGCAGCTCCAGGCATCCCCACTGACTGGGACCAGGAGGGCAATGTAAAATGGTAAGGTAAACAAACACTTAACTACACAATTGGATCAATGTGGAACTGGAAGGACAGGTAAACAAGACCTTCCTTAAAAGCATCATCTTAAGAGGAACTTGAATTATAAAACCAGATAACTGCTTTCAATTTCCTCAACTTGTTTTTGTATAAATACTGTTCAAAAAAACTGAGGGCAGGTGCTGGTTATTCTCCATTTCTCCCTTCACATTTTTCTACCTTTCTCTGCCCTGCTTTGACACCCATGAAATACACAGTCTGGCACCCCTGCCTTTTAGCTTCTGGTTGGGTTGGTCCATGGGATGGGGGTTGCTGAGAGACTGAAGGGCAGGAGAGAAAGGTCAGGGTGTTTATTGCATTGCCATCAACATCTCTCCCCACCCCCACCCCCTACACATATGAGGTCATGGCCATGGTTGCCTCCCTTTAACTCCCGTCCTGCTGTTTTTCACAGCTCCAGCTCTCAGCCTGGACCCCTTAACATCACTTCTTCCCCATATCCAGTCAGATCAAGTAATGGCTCTCCACCATTGCTAGCCCCTGTGTGTCTCAGCATCCCTTGTTGGTTCCCTTAACGCAGCTCATACCTTTGTAAATATCCCCTTCTTAACATGTCCATTCAAAAAATCCCAGCTGAATTTGTCTTGTGTTTCTGATCAGGAATAATGGTCAACTGCATCAATATGACCCTTTGATAGGC